CTTATTTCATACATTACTTCTAACACCAATTCTTTTTCTTCTTATATTTTCTATCATCTCTCTTTTATTTTTAATTAATATCTTTACTTTGTGTACAATATGATTATTTTTCATTGATATATTTCTTAAAATGTAATAACAAACAAATTGTTTGTGTTTTGTTGTCAATAGGAATTAAAAGATGAATGGAGCAAAAATTGAAGATTTGAGATGTTGAAGATAAATTTTTAAGTTTGATTTTATGTAATTTTTGTATGTTATTTCGGATTTATTATATGTAGAATTTGGACAATATTTTGTATTTTTCAGTAAAGTTTTTAATATATTAATAAAATTCATAATATTTTGACTAGATTAATAAATTGTGTATGTATCACTACAAGAAAACTAGCATTCTACGTCTAGCAAAATTAGATGCAAAAAGTCATATTTAGTTGCTAAGCCATTTTTAGCGTCTAAATTTGGTTGTCGCCCCCTTAGTTGCAGTAGGCTGGTCGCAGATTCATAGGCATCTATATGTGGTTTAGACGCAAAAAGTTTTTTTTTTTGCGACTAGCAAAATAGTCGATAAATGCTGGCCAAATTAGTCCCCCAACTTAGACGCTAAAAGTTCAAGGGTAATTGATAAAATGTATAGCGGCCAATCAACTAGTGCAAAATGTCAGTTTTAGTGTCTAATAATTGTCGTGAATCCCACACAAATTAGACGCCAAAGGTGTAAGGGTATTTCGTAAAAGGCTTTCGCAACTATTTGTTAGTTAACGAATGTACTATTAGTGACCAAATTTAGTGGCTAATTGAACTTTTAAACGCTGAATGTGAATCCAAACGGTTTTCGCGACTATTTTATTAGTGGCCAAATGAATCTTTTGGTGACCAAAATTTAGTAGTTAATTATAGTAATTTTAGATGCTGAATGTGAAATCTAATAGGTTTTCGCGACTATTTTGTTGGTGGCCGAATGTATCTTTTGGTGACCAAAATTTAGTAGTTAATTATAGTCATTTTAGACGCTGAATGTGGAATCCAATTATGAAAATTACTGTTTGCTACTACAAAATTAGTTGCAGAATGTGTTTTTTTTTGAGAAAATAATTACTGGCAAAAGCATTTGTATTGACTTAGTTTATACATTCAACATCAGCAAAATAATCCATCACAATATAAAAATGTGAACACTACACAAATATCATATTTTCATATTAATTATATTATAAGTCCATACAATCGTGTTATATTTCTTGTTGTTGGACATGCGCCTTAACTCTGCTTCTACTCCTTCAAGTAAGATGAGCTGCTCCTTCAAGCATTATTGCACGAAGTATCATTTTTTCCTACATCAATTCAATGCATAATCAATAAGTCAAGCAAGAAACTAAATTATTACAAATAATTATAATTATTCTGGGGTATAGAATATGTGACAAAAACTTATGAAATGGCAATAGAAAAGAAAGACTACTCTCAAAGTTCACAGAACGTACTGTAGCACCAAACCAAACAAATGATGGAGTAGAAAAGCAAATATCTCACAGATTAACAATCTAAACTTCAATCCCTAGTTAAAATTTTAAACTAAGTTAAATTTCTTCTTCATCAGCCAAAGTGTTTTTGTAGAATAAAACCTTATTCATAGGCTATAAATGTCTGAAATCTGATGGAAAAATAGTCATCTCACCTATGCCAATAATTGTTTTAATTCAAGGTCTGTTTTGGTCCCAATTTCTATACTTTTGATTGTTCATCTGATACTGACTACATCATCTTACTATTCACCATTGTTCAGCATGCTGTCCCTCGGTTTCAACTCTTCCTATTGTCACCTCATTAAATTCAATCCCTTCAAATTCAGCCTACCTAAGTTAAATTTCTACATAAGTTTACCAATATCATAACTTTACCAGTGTTTGCAGTGTAATTTTAGTTAACCAATATCTAAATTTCTACATAAATGTATGAGAGTAAAAAGATAGCAATGAACTAAAAAAAATAGTGTCAAAAAACTCAGAACTAACCTTTATGTGAGCTGAGGCCTTGTTAGTTGTTGGGAAGACCCCAGAAGATTCAGCAATATACCAGCCCCATAATTGCCCCAAGGGATCTCAACCGGGTCCCTAGGTAGAGAGTTAAACGTTAGACCTTAAGTAGAATCAATTACTTATGTTCCTGAGATGGGTGATGGAGTTAATTTACAATTCATAGAGTTAACGTTAGACCTTAGTAGAACCCATAATAAATCCAACTATTATGGAATATATGCACACATATTTAATCAACATAGGTTTGAGGCATGAAGATCATGGAAATCTTTATTGATTTCTCTAGTTAATTCCTAATTTGCAGAGTGCTTGGTTAATAAGAAAGTGAGGAAAAAAAAAAAAAAGTTAGAAAAAACAAAAAAAGAGTTAAAATATATGAAGGGAATATCTTGGAGAAAATGATTGGGGATGTATAATGATAGTAGAACGCCTAATAATCCAAGAAGAATCTCATATTTGTAATTGCAATCTACACAATTCATTGAAGCATCTATCACATTCACAATTGCTTTGTCCCGGGCTTGTCCATCATTTTAGAACAAAGTAAATCAAAGGCAAATATAACAGGCCAGAAATATATATTAATAGACTCAGCTAACAACATAGTTACAAAGAGCACAAACAGATCCAACAAACTCTTGAAGCTACCAAAGGCTTATAATTTGTGATGCAATATTAAACCAAGATAACCTCCTCCTCATATCCAGGTAACTTTTTCCTTTCTCCCTTATAAATAAGCTCAAGAGTGCATATAGTAATACACCAGTCTTTCAAACAATCGGAGAGCAAAAAGTTGCCATTTACAATTACAGTGTGGGAACCTCTTGACCAAATTAATTATTACAATAGAAGTATTGCTGTAGATATAACTTAATTATTTGAAACATCTATATGGAACATACCACTTTTGCATCAATGATTTAAAATGCTAACAAATAAACTCAATCACAAAGAAGTTCTATTTTAGTTTGCATCAATGATTTAAAATGCTAACAAACAAATCCCAATTACAAAGAATTTTATTTTAGAAAATAATTTATTACGCGAAACCTTAATATTTCCTGCCTCAATGAATCTTAATGATACAGGAAAACGCTTTTTAAGAATAATTTATATGCGAAATTTTGTTTTTAACATAGACAACCAGACCACAACTCAACAGCAAACTAAGTTCTTACCTCTAACATGTCTACATTCATATGAATAGAACAAAAGGCAATCAAGTTGTCTAAAAGAAAATTTGAGATGGCCAATCTCATTAAAACAACCACCATCATCGTTTACCATCCCGCTGACAATGTACCACCCATGCCACTTACCATACTACTCTGTACTGCCATGCTCTATCACTACAACTATGAACAATCACATCAACTTTTTCTTTTCATCATACACTTATCTGGGGACCAAATACTCAAAAGTGTTGCAGACTAGCAATTCGGTTTTTATGGATGTAATAGAATATTTTTCTGACAACTGATAATAGCTAATAATCTCAAATTATGGTCAATCAATTTTAAAAGAGCTATAAATCATGTGAAGTTTTTCCTTGTTGAAAATATTAGAATTCTATGGAGGCAGTGATTGAGATAAGGGAAACAATATCATTATCTGCTATTGGATCAATTGGTGGATGAAAGAGAGAGGCCGACAGTAGCAATAATATCAGCAATGGATAAAGGAGAGAAAATGCATCAATTAAATGACTTTTTCTGTAAGCCATGGCCCAGGAAAGCGAGTTATATAGTAGAGAGACATGAGCGATTGAATTCTTAAGGAAAATAGGGACAACAAAATTTGTTATTGCTCTTTCATAATCGAACTTATATACCATCTTTTATAGAAAGAGTTAAAAGAGTTATTGTAACTATGCAGCACAATTAAAAGTGTCAATTAAAAGTCGTATATAAGGAACCAAAATATCGTTATTGCCAATAGGCAATTGACACTCTTCACTGAAGCATGATTTTTCATGTCAATAACTAGATGCAGTACATAATTGTGAATGATGTTAACTCACAATTGAGATATGTCAATATAATACAAAATCTACGTGTGAGAGAGAAAAAAACATGCACAACACATGGAGGCACACTGTGGATCACTGCAACAACCAGATTTCTCTTCTGTAAACCTGAAAATAAATTCAAATGCATCATGTTAGCAAACTGAATATACAGAATAATCTAGCAATACTCATCAAATAAATGTCTACTTTATACAAAAGGGAGACAGAGTGCAAGAGAGTGAGCATAAAGCTTACTTGTGAACCTCTCGATCACCCCTCCATTTCGTCATTTGCCAGTCAATCGTTATTAGGCTCCAGAACTGGTTGAGAGATCTTAGCCTATGTTTTTTAACCAGCTCAATATACATGGTTATTCATATAGAGCAATTTAGAAAGAAAGTTGTGACTGTTAAACTTGACCATAAATCATAACTGGAAAAATAGAACTTACTTCCCCGTTGAAGTGTTCCACGCCAAGATCTTCATCCCAAATAAAATATACTCATAACGCTGCAACAATGTCAGGATGCAAAAACCTTTTTGCATACCACTGCCAATCAATGTGAAAATGAAAGCTAATGAAGATTTCTCGCATCAAACACCTGACAATAAATCCAAGCAATTCAAGAATGGATGACATGAAAACAAAACTATAAAAACAATGAGATGCTTATTCATACTTGGTAGCTCTCAAATTAAAGGAGCAAAAGGTTGGAATTCCGTACTATGCAGAAGATCTTAAAATCTCACCATTTTGTTTGTTCCTTGCACTAACATGGATTGCGCTCTTTGACCACTCAAATTCATCCCATTCACTTGTCCGACCATATAGTGGAAAAGCAAAAGTGGGAATCCTCAGAAAAATATCAAAAATTTATGTAACAAAAACCTCAGTATCTCTGAAGTAAAAATCAGTTAAGGTAGAAAAAAAGAATGAAATGGTCCATTCATATACACCTTTTTAACCATTCTATCAATATTTTGCCTCTGATTCAGACAAACTATGATTGTCAGCAAGTACTTCGGCTTTTGCTTCAGATCCTGCAAATTTTAGAGCATTTACTTGAGTCAATTCCGATAATCTAAAACGTTGATCCAACATGCACAATTAGTAAAGAGGTCAAACTTGAGGATTCTCTATTACTTCACACTTTTGGTAGAATGGAAATTTGATGCGCAAAATTTTTTTTAGACTATGAAAAAAGAAGTTTACCGTCTTCATTGTTGGCCTTCTAGAAGATGAATGCAAGAGGCAGAGGCGTGCCGCACACATCATTATTTCCATTTCTTCCTTCTTGTAGTCTTCTCCCAAACTAAGATATCAAAACTAAAAAAAAAAAAAAAAATCAATTAAAAGAGAATATTATACCTAACTAGTGCGTGCATGTCCAACTAAGTCGGAGCCATCAAGAACCATATCAAAAGTGGTGGCTTGAATTGGAAACAGAGACTCAATACCCTTAGACTTAGTTTCTATCTCAATGGTTCCGATATTCGAAACTGAGAAATAGCATTCGGATTCTCACTCTTCTCCTCTTCTTCCACCTCAGCATCTACTTTCGCTTTCTTTTGCTTCTTTTTATATATTCGATTTCAAATTCACAGGCTCACCTAATTCCGAGCTTGTTTCACTTCTCTCTTCGTCATCTTCTTCCATAACCTTTCACTTCTTGCTATCCTTCTTCTTAGACCTTTCAGAGTCATCCGCCTTATTCTTTGAGTCCTTCTTTTTCTTCTTTTCCGCCGAAAAGTCAGTTTCGTCTAAACTTTGAAGAGCTATTTTCTTCGTCATCTGCCTCTCTTCTTTCGTTCCGTTAACGTCAAAGGGTGCTAAAGAAGGCATATGGAGAGAGGTGTAGAGAGTTTCTTTTTGGGTAATATAAATAGCATTACAAGATTAAAGGTCTCACTCAAACATAATTGAAATCAAATTCAATGTTACCATGTGAGAGAACTAAAGAATCAAAAATTGTACTTACGGGAGGTTAGGGGCTGCCTCGTATTCGATGAATGAAGGAAACCAAGGAGATCAATTGAATGATGAAGATGCGTGGAGAAGAGATGAAGTCAGGTTCTGCAGTTCGGAAATTCGGGCAACATCGATTAAGATGAAGATGCGTCAGATCGAAGAGATGAAGATGCTTGGGGAAAAGATGAAGTCAGGTTCTGCAGTTCAGAAATTTGGGCAACAGCGATTAAGATGAAGACGCGTCAGATCGAAGAGATGAAGATGCGTGGGGAAAAGATGAAGTCAGGTTCTACAGTTCGGAAATTCGGGCAACAGCGAGGGCAAACATGCGTGGAGAAGAGATGAAATTTGGGTTGTGTGTTTGGGAAATTTGGGGAAAAAGCTAGGGCAAACATGCGTGGAGAGGAGATGAAATTGCAATAAATGCTTGCTTTATATAGGATAAGGTATTTTGTAAATAACTTAAAAAAGTAAAGGTTCTAATTAGTTATTTAATTTTGAAATATAATTCTATTATGGAAATAAGTCAATTTGCAACTAAAAATTTAGTCAGTAAAGAATTAGTGTTAGTTGCCCATAATTGAGGTCTGGCGGGAACAAATAATTTTGGGGGGAATATGAATTTTTTAAGTTAAATTAGCAACTAAATCAAATTTAGTTGCTGTATATACTTTGGGGCCTTTGTAATTACTGTCCAAATATAAGATATTTTGGTAATTTCATTTTTCTACAACTAATCATAATAGTTACTAATAAATTCCTAATTATTCGCAATTAATTTAGCAACTAAATTAGTAGTTGAAAAAAATTGTTTTTTGTAACCAAAAATTTAGATGCAAAAGCCATATTTTAGATGCAAATTATCAAATTTTGGAGGGAAAAATCACTCGAAAAAAATTGCAACTAAATTTATTAGTCACTAAAGCAACCGGTTCTGTGACTAACAAAATAGTCGCAAAAAATTAACTTTAGATGCCAAATGTTGGAACATGTGGGCCCCAAAATTTTAATCCTCTTTGCTCAACTAATGTCAATTTAGTTGAGCAATGTAGCCTTTTTGCAGTTAATTCTGGTTAGTTGCTAAAAAATTGGTTGCAAAATGTCAGTTTTCTTGTAGTGAATTTTTTATGTGAATTTTATTATGTAATATATATGTATGTCTATATATTGCAAAAAAATTGAATAGACCATTGCAACCAAGTTGGCATCTTAATAGGCTATTTAATTATATATCTATATAATGATACATGTATTATTTAAAAAAAAAAAAATTGAATAGACCTATTGCGACCTTGAGATGACGTCGCAATATTTTTCAAAAGAATAATTAGGTTAAGTGATGTGATTCTATGGTTATATTTGTTTTTTTTAAAAGAATCTTGATATTTAAGGAATTAAAATTATTGAGGATGATTATGAGAATATCTCAAGATTGAAGTGCGAATCTAAAATCGAGGTTTGGATATTCTATACTTTGAAAAGAAGAAAGTAAAAAAAAAAAAAGTAATCAAAGGCATGGACAATTTCTTCTATGCAAATTAATATGTACAATATGTATTTTTTTTTCTCTGAAAATTGCTCCATCGTTTACTGTCATCTATTTACTTTACTTTTTCTTTTTATTATGAGAATAGCTATGTACCGCGTATGTTAACAATTTGTATACATAGAGTTATGATTAAGTTTCATATATATATATATAAAACTAATTAATTACCTTCCAATAATTGGGTGTGTTTGTTTTATTATTCTTATCTTATCATATTCAAAATACATATTTGTTTTTTTTATTCTCAAAATCCAATCATATTCTAATCAACTCAAAATATTTAGATTCTTTTAACCCCCTAGGTTTGTTAATTCAACTAAACATCCCCAATAATAAAAGTTTATAAATTGACAAAAACATTCACACCCACTCACATATTCTCAGTAGCCGGTGGCCGGCTGCCGACATTTAATGGAGCGGGTGGGAGTGTTTTTATTAATTTTAAATTATTGTAGGGGGTATTTAACTAAATTAATAAATTAAAAAATAATCTTATCAAACACATTTTCAAATTCAAATCTTATCCTCGTAATAATAACCTAATTCAACTTTTTCAAAAATACTACTCAAAATAATAAAACAAACACACCCAATTGGGTGTGTTTGTTTTATTTACCAATAAAAAATTTCATTCTTGATCGCAAGGTTATGAAAACTGGACTGGGTCTTGACCTAATCAATGGCCCAATTCTCGGGTTGATTGGTCAGACCAGTAACGTTTGCAAATTAAAAAAAAAAAAAATTACAATTAGTCCTTAAAATTTTAATATATTGTAAACATATACCTAAAATTTATAAAGTAGTCCTTGAAATTTTAAGATATTGCAAAAATATCCCAAAAATTCAATTAATCCCTAAAGTTTTGAAATATTAAAACAACCCCTATAAAATTACAATTTAGTCCCTACATGTTTGAAATCTAGCAGAAACTCTTAGGAATTGAACCGAACTAGAGAGGCTATCGATTCCTGATCCGACCGACCGGTCCGTTCCGGGTTTCAGAATATTGCTTGATAGATAACTCTCACTCATAAATATTGCAAGAGAAAGAAATTAATATGCACCTCCACAAATGGTCATTCCATTTAGACTTCTTCTTCTTCTTCTTTTTTTTTTTTTTTTTTCAATTTTCCTTCTCCAGTTACTTTTTAATTTAAAATTTCTTATTGCGTCCAACTAATTCATTATTGAAAAGAAACCCTCTCAAAATCCTCCTAGGCGAATTGCAAATTATTGAAATCTAAAGCCTAATTTTAGTTTAGAGGATTGAATTATCGTTGCTGAAATTACAAGCACTCAATTTGTATAGAATTGAAAGATCCATTTGATAATTAACTGGATATTTAGAAATCAAACTATATAAAGAATGAGAATAAAATAATATTAATTTATGAGTTTACATGAAAGTGAAAATGTTAATGCTTAGTGATGGAGTAATTAATGATTAAAGATATATGCACTACTTGGGTTTGGTAGGTCAATACTGGTATGCTTGAAAAATCAAGGTTAACGTAAGCTTACATCAGCAAGCACCAATCAAAGTTCAGGAAGATTTTGTGCCATCCAGGAGCTAACACGTCGCCTCAAGACAGAAAGGATACAGTTGCCATCAACCCAATAGATTCAGGTTTTGTCTATGAGTGAATGAGGATCGCACACCTGTCCAAGCCCTAGATAATTTGAGGATATTTTCTAAGTTATCAGCCAATAGGAGGCAAGGAAGGACTTGCACGGCACTTACCCACTTGTAGATTTGTAATCATTACCTTGAATTCAGTTACTATAAATAGAGGACTCCTCCTCTCATTTTTGGATCTCTAATCTTCACTTTCATAAGCGGTCAATAGCAAAGACAACCTATGAGAAAGAGACTGACTTGATACTCTCTCTGAATATTTAGTTATTGTACCTCTGCTCGTTGTTTGCTATATGTGATTTCTTGTAAACTCTTATATATAAAAGAAATAGTGGACGTAGGAATCGCTTTAGGCATCTGAACCACTTTAAAAATCATCTCTCCCATTTATTATTCAGTCTTTGCATTCGATAATATTGTTTAACCTTGTCCTGACTCTTGAATCAGTTAATCACGTGTCATTTCTAAGAACAGCTTAGCACTTTGCACTTTACACATGTGAGTTGTTGGTATCAGAGTCACGCATCAACAGTTTGGCGCTAGAAGGAGGGCTAGATTTTATATCTGCTCTTTATCTAGAATTTTTGATCAACTAGTTCTATTTATGAACTTATGGCTCGTGGTCTTGAAACCAAGTGTACTAGCACCAATAACGAGCAAACCCCTGAGTACAGGATGTTACTCCTCCCGAAGTACCTCCAGTTTCCCCAAGTACCATGGTGGGTACCCTCTCGACCTCTCAGCTTGATCCGGTTGTAATGGATTACCTGGAAAAGTTAAATAATACCCTTTAAACGATTAAACAAAGGTTAGATCGTTTGGATCAGGTCGTATCGCCCAATTCTGATAAGGCGGTGCCACCTCCAAAAACGTCTGTAGGTCACACTTAAGCGTGGAAACAGGCAAAAGCTCATACCACATACACTATAGCACGTAAGAATAAGGGAAAGCAGGTGTCTGATAATGGGCAAGGGCTAGTGAATATTGGTTGTGAAACAAGTAGAATACCTATAGCTTTGCGACTTGGCGATATGTAACATTGCAAGCTGTCTCACGCCATATAGCAAGGGCACCCCCCATAAGAGTGCTCGACCTGGAGATGATGGTTTTGACCATCACTGCAAGGGAAATACCCACCATCTACGAGTCGGTTTTAACCACCACAGAGGTCGAGATAACTCTCCAAGCCATTCAGTGCCTTCACATGGCTCTAGCCAGTATGTGTCAAGGTATGTTGAAGGCTTCTGCCAAAGCGTGGAAGAGCCTGATCTGTGATCTTTCCTTAATCGCAATCGTAGGGAATATACCCACATTGTAGAAAGCGATCCCCAGATGGCTCCTGATCCATTTCCAACCAATTCATCAACACAACACACACCAAAAATCAAGTAGAAATTTGGCCAAATTGAAAACATGAACTAAAACATACTTACTTGCAAATCCGGACCAAGACAAGTAGAAACACTTTAAGCTTAAAGGATTACTCCACCAACTTGAATTGAGTCACCACCAAATCCCCTTGCTAAGACTTGGATAAAGAACGCACCCTCAAGAACACACAAGTTCTCTCAAATGGATAAACCAAATTTCATATATTTCATAAGCTAATTGTTACAATGAAATAGTTGCTCTTATATAGGTAAATACAACGATAAACAAGTAATTGACAAATACATTAAAATGAATAAACTTAACTAATATTACAAGCCATTCATTCAAAAATCAAGGCCATGCCTTTTTAGAGGAAAAGAGACATGATTCCCTAATTCTAGGATCTATGTCTTTAACCACCCCATTAGTTGAAATAAGCTTATTTCATTAGATCAAAACTTGATCAATGATCCTAATTAAGTCTACTAATAAGGGTGTAAGAATTTGGGCCCTGAGAATAATGCAAATGGATCTAATAAGGGTTCATATGGATCTTCCCCTTTGGAATGAGACTTGGGTCGGATTGGACCTTTTCAACACTTGGATTTCTTTCTTGGTGGGCTTGAGCTTCCTTTGTTGGGCTTGGACTTGGAATGGTTTGGGCCGAAATGCTTGGGCTCTCTCCCTCCTTGGAACTTGCTTGAGCCGAATTTCCTCCATTGCTTTCCATATTCCACAATCCAAGTGTTTTAGGACTTGGAGTGAAATTCTTCAATTCAACCGAATTAGCAACTATTTTAGGACTTGCAATTCCTTGTCCACTCATGTTTACAAGT